AATAATTAATAGCCACTCCAATCGATGTTTATTTGTTTTAAAACGCATGCGCACCAATTTTAAATGTTTAATTCTAAAAATTTAAATTTAAAATCTTTTTTGTATGTTCAAAAACGGCTAGTATCGTTAATGTTTTAAATTTAAATGTATGGTTCGAATTCTTTATTCGAATTTAATTTTACCTGAAGACGACGTGCTTATTTACGTCGAAAGCGCTCGTAAATTAAAATAATTTCAAGTATATTTAACGCCTCATAGACTGACGTTCTTGGAAGAAGAAGTTTTGATTAAAAACAGTTTATTTTCTGGTTATTAAACTATTTCAAATAATAATTGTAAAATAAGTTATTAAATCTTCATTAAGATTATTTCAAATTATAGAAAGATGAGAACATTTTAACACTTCTGTTGTCAATCAATAATTAGATCATTTGAATAATTGAATTTTGTAATAATCTTTATATATACAGCATATTGAGAAAAAATGAATAGTTGCATACATTTTTTGAACAGAAGAAAAAATTTATAAATATATTTAAATGAGAAACAGGACAGAAATAATATTGGCTTCTACTCAAAATTGTAATCAAATTAATAATAAAGTAAATTTAATTCTATTTTTTAATGGTACTAATTACTGTTTTATTTTAATTTTTGTTTATATCAGTATAAATAGACAATTTTGGATATTAACGTTAACAGATATTAAGATATACTATTAAAAGTTAACAGATATTAAGATATACTATTTATAACAGATATACTATTAAAAGACATTGTCTACAATACTATTTGGAAATAGGAGTTACATCTACAGGTACAAATCATATTATAACTGCTAATTAAATGCAATTGGAGAATATTACTATAAACATTCTTAACTTGTCAATAAAAAAAAAATATTTTTTTAAAAAGATTTTTCTAATGTTTACTTCAAACTCTTGTGTTAATATGAGAAACAGATTGAAATACATTACTTCTATTTTAAGATTAGAGAAATAACAAAATAATCATAAAGACATAAAAAGAAATTATATATTTTTTTTGTTATGATTAATAACTGACAGAACTTTAATCTTCATAGATATGAAGATTAAAGTTAATCTATTCAATCTATGTTAATCTATTAAGGTGTTCACCATGTAGTCTCTAAACACCAACATGGCCATTGTCAGTTCTCAAACTGAATCTGAATTCATTGCTCTAGATGACCTACTTCCATTTCATTGTGGTCCTATCCCATTGGCAACAACACCAATCCAAATGGAGGCAACAGTGGGAGGCTCTCAGTGGCATCACACGTAATGGCTGCCATGATACTAAATGTTCCTCACCCAGGCACCTTGAAATGGTATGGACAGACACAAGGACCTGTAATGATAACACCATGTGTGTCAGGATGGTGGATAACGATATGGTCAGATGTGTGCATGCTTGTTGGAGGACCAGGCAGTCCTCAAGGTTAATGGTCTACCAAGGGCATCCTTATGTGCAAGCTCTCTTATTCACTGGTCCAACATCTAGGCTGTCTTGGCAGTGCTGTCAGAATGGCCTAGTTGTTGGGTTATTCAGCGAGATGACCATCTGGCTTCTCTCAACCCAATGATCTTTTCCTTCTCAAACTCAGTTAGTTGTTCACATGGTCTTTGATTGCAATGTAAATGCTTCTCTAGTGATACAGTGTCCTTCTGCAACAGGTAAACTATAGACAGGATGCATTTGTGTTTTTTTTATTGGCCAAGGATGCCACACTTTAACACTCTCTGTTGGCATTACACAATGAGCCATTACACTATAACATAATCACTTCCATATCTGCTTGCCTGTATGCCAAGTTTTGCAGTGAAACAACAATTCCTTCTTGGTGTGCTAATTTTTATGGCAATGAATTTATATCTGGTTATATTTCTCATGTAAGTTTGATTCTAACTCTAATTAAAGTGTTTATTAGCTTTTTAAAAATGGAATAGTTATGATTAATATCCTATTGTCATTAGGTCTGAAAATTTAGATTTGTATCAATTTTTGTGTCAATTAAAAGTTTACTCTGAACAGCAAAAGATATTACAGTAAAACCTTGTTAAAACAAAGTTTAAGGGGTAAAATGTCTTAACTTTTAGTTAGAATTTCAAGTTAGCAAGTTTAATATGTGATTTTCTCAAATTTTTCTGTGGCTGAAAATTTCCTGTTATTAAGCTGTTACTCAAGGATATGTTCACAGAATGATTACAGAATGGTATATAATTTATGATGTTTTTGAGTGCATTGTCAAGTTACCCCTTGAATCCAGTTAGAATGCTGGTAACATACTTCAGTAAAAGGATGTTGATACAAGTATGTAATGGTGTGGTGTTGTGTTCAATTAAGATAATTGAAAATGAAGGAAATATGAAGATATAAGAGCAAAGGAAGATCACAGAACTATCCAAGGGCAGAAGTTACAGGAAAATAAGTTCAAGTTAAATGTACTGACAGATTTAACTTAAAAAGACTATTATATGGAAAAACCCTATATACTATGCCTGCAACCTGTTAATGCAGTTCAACTTAGTGATGTTTTACTACATTATTTGTTCAATTTATAAAATAATTAAAGCAATAGATATTCATGTTAATTTCATGATATATTGCCCTTTAATAAAATCAACTTATCAAACCTAAATATCATGTTTTTGTGATTTTTTAAATTAATTTGATTTATACAAATATTTTAAAAGTATGACCTAATTATTATAGTGGAATTTTTCAGATAGAGTCAAAGTTAGAAAATCCTACTATATTTCACATCCAAGAAAATCAAAAACAGGAAAGTCTTCAATTTACTAACAATACTCAGGGAACTTATTCATTTCAAACACCTGTGGAAAATGATGTGAATTCACCATCATTCAACAGTCCATCAAGTCCTTTTTCAGTAGGTCTTACAAGTTCTGCTGCCAGTTCTAATGATGTAAGATATTTTTTAATTTCATAAGAATAAAATTTGATTTCTTAAATAATAATCTTTTTAATAAAACTCATTTTATATAATATTTAATTCTTATTATTAATTATTATTAACTCTATAAACTAATATTTATATGAAGCCTGGAATTTTAATTATAAATGTAATTGTTATGCAATGGATAAGATTGACAGATGGAGGAAAAGACTGGATAAACCAGTATTCTTATGTAGATAATTAAAACTGATGCCAATGATGATGGTAATAATTATAATAATATGTATGATAAGAAACTTTTACACGTATATATCAAGTTAGTTGATCACTTTGACTGGAAGATTTAAAACAAAAATAAATCTCTTTATAAAATTGTATATTTTGAAGTCCTTATTTAGTAATAACTAGCCACAACTAAGTTCAGCACCTGAGGAAGGCCTTGGTGGAGGCCAAAAACATTAGTAGGTTTTGTGTCAAACACAACACTGATAAAAAAAGGGTTTTGTTTGTGGCTAGTTAGTACTCAATACAGTGTTAATTGTTATAAGACGTTTATTTTGCCCTTATTTAGTATATACAATTAGTTTTTGATTGAATATTTGAGACACCAATTAACATAAATTAATTAAAAAAATATTAGAATGCAAAACTTAAGTAACTGCTAAAGAGAAGCTTAAACTCAAAATACATATCAGTATTAATAGGAAGTTTTAAAGATTATAGATATATAATGAATATAGTATTTAAAGAGGTTGTCCATATGACAAAAAACATCATCAAAGGCATCATTTTCTACCTCTCCCCCTCCCTGTTATCAAGCATCATCATGGTAAAAGTCCCTCCCCATATTACATCATCATAATCAGCATATTCCTTCTTTATTAATAAAATAAATACAATTAATTTGAAGTAAGATCGATATGCTATATTTATTTTTTACATCATTTACAGTATATATGTAAGATATCAAGTTCCAATGGTCTCAGCCAACTCTTCAGTAATCCAATCATTCTTACTGTTTATGTCACTATCAATCTGTCAACATGCTAGTAGGTCTTCCTGAAAGAGATGCTTTTTATCCTGTTATACACCAAACATCATTATTTCTCATCATTTAAATATGTAAATAAGTTTAATAATATTTTAAATTTCTTCTTCTTCTTCTTCTTTTTTTTTTTTTACTTTCCCTAGCTCTGTTATATATAACAGAGATAAAGTTTGGCAATTGGTCAAAAAATAACTTCCCCAAGATTTTTATATTTTTTGACTTAGAACCTTGAAATATCAAGAAATGCAAAAAAATAATTAAATTGGTTTTTTGTATGTATGGATGTTAGTGTGTGTGTGTTCATGTTTGTGTATGTATGTGTGTGTGGCACAATTTTGTTCACCCTCTTTAAAGCTTAATAACTCCTGTGCTTTTTATTGAAAATTTCAGAAAATTTTTCAAGGAGGTTTATGCATTAGGGGATTGATGCTGTTATATTTTGGTGGTTAAAGGTTGATGGGGAGATAAAGGGGGTCATTTGTCATATCTCCAGAAGAATGAGACTTAATGACACTTTTACTTCTTATTAGCATTTACAATTTTTTATAAAAACTATCCTTACCCTCAAAATTAAGCTTTTTCCCCTTTTATAATAATCAAAAATTTAAAGTGTTTTTTAAATAAAATATTATAACAGATGGTGCCATACATACAGTTTTAAATGTTGCCAGGAAAGTTAGGCAACTTGTTGCTGGATTTTTTTTTTTTTTTTTGTTAAATATATAAAAATTATATACTTACAAATTTTTAAGAATATAAAATAATTTAAATTATTTTTCTAGCTGCACTCAGACACCCAAAATGAGCCGAACAAATCTTAAACAGCAATTGATGAGAGAACAAGTGGAACAACAAAACAAGAGAGAACAACAATATGAAAGATTAACAGGAAGGTTGCCAAATTCCATTAGTGTGCAACATTCTGCAAATAATAAAACATATAATTTTCCAAAGGTAAATTTCTATTTTGAATTTTCATTTAAATATAATTTGGGATCACCAATTATTGGCTGAATTTGAAAAACCTGAATCAGAGATATAGTGTCAAAAATAATTGGCAGATTTTCAATTATTAAAAGTAAATGCAAAAAAAATTTGATAGAAAATATGATAATTTTTAACTTCAGAACTACTAAACCNCTAAATTTGGAGAATCCGTGCTTCTCGCGTGGACAACTGTACGTGGCCGGCTCATGCGTCGGAAAACCTTCCGATTTATTCGTGTACGCACCAGACGGAGAAACAAAAAATATCGTGTATCCACGAGCACTCCAATAAATAAATAGAATTGAAACAACACTTTGAAATGTTTTCCCGATGAATACGAATAATAATAAGTTTCGATAAAAATGATAAAATGAAAATTTAATTTTATCATTACGAGTTTGCTTGAATTTCGTTTCTTCTGAGATCGCAGCAATGCGCGACGGGTAAGCTAGTTTTGTTATATTAATGGAGGCAGTACGCATTGGTTTCTGGGGCTTCACTTTATAATAAAAAAATAAATGTCATTGTGCATTATTGTTTTTATTGTGTAATATTATACAATGTATACAATGATCTACTGTAATCATTGTTAAATATTATTTACTGAATGAAAGTTTAAACTTTATCTAAGATTTAATAATTATTTCTTACAGCCTAAAGAAGGGGAAAAAAGTTAACATTGTATTTTAACTTAATATTTTATGTATTTTATTAACTTATGTATTTTAACTTAATATTGTAAATTCCTTAAAAGATATAAGTAAGTATTATAATAGTTATTATTTTAGAATAAAATTTGAAATTTTGTGTTTTAAGATTATAGTTCTGATTTATTTTGTCCATTATTTGTCTGTACTGATTCTACAAATTTTATGTTCACATTATCTGATAATGATATACTGTACTCCTTATCGGAGTACATAATTAATTATCAGATTGTTCGAGACTCGATAAAAACTTCAGTAAATTTTTGTAAAGGTACTCTTTAAAATCCATACTAATGGAACAAATACTAATGTATGTGTATAAAATTATGCACAATGAAGCTGTTCTGCTTATCACAGAAATCATGTTTTTGTACACAAAACATGTCCGAACCTATTATTAATATATGATCTCTCTAGATTTCCTGCCTGTAATGAGAAGGATTGTCTCTGCTCATGACGAAAATGTTGCAATTCAAACGTTTTAAATCATGTGAATAACTAATAGAAATTTGTTTTATGTCAAAATAATTTATGAAAACGAGCAATTATTTATTTTGACGTTGTCATAATGACGGGCTGCAATTTTTAATCATATTTTTAATTTATTTAATTGAAAATTATGCTCTCCACCTCAAATTAGTACTGTAGTATCTTGCCCCTGTACATCATACTTTTCCTTTAACAATAGAGACCTGCCAATCTCTATTAACTCTTTCAGAGGAAAAGTTTTGAATTGAAATAACGTGACTTCTGGTTTGCATCGGAAGTTCATATATAGTTAATTGGGGCCTCCTGCCCGTAAGGTTTTCATATCTGGTCTCGTCTTTCATCTATCTAACTCCGTTCTTGTGATTAAGGAAAGACAGACGGACGACAGTGGTAATTTAAAGGTCTACAATTTTTTTCAAATTGAAGCCTAATATATTTGGTCTAGCTATCTAAAATTATTTCATAAATATTTGCAATCCAAGTTTAAATTTTATCTAATAAGCAAAATTGCTCACTTTTCGAATAAACTATTCAGATTGCTTGCGAATAAACAGTTTTAATTGCGTTTTTAACAGAAACTTTGTAATTTAAACAGAAACTTTGTACTTCATACAATAATTTCGTACGTACACAAACTGAATCTATGGAACTAATTCTAGCATTAAATTTGTTCCCAAACATTGGCAATACATTTAATGCGAATTGAAGTAGCAAGCATATAATATATTGGAATGGAAGCCGTCATTTACGAATGTGCCAATGAAATGGCATTTTAGGTCACATAATTTTTAGCATTTTGTGCTTGTTTGGAATGCATTATTTTAAATTTTTATCTGGAATCACGCCTAGAATTTTTGTAAATATTGCTGTTTAAATAAATTTAAGTTATTTGTGGCTGTAAATTATGCAATTTCTTTTTAGATTTCAAAAAATATACAAACGTTTTACTATTTTTTTTTAAATTAAACGATGATATATTTACTATTTTAGAAATCATATTTGATCTATAAATTTAATTTTCTACTAAAATATCACAAAAAATAAAGTTGTTTTATTATTATAATTACGTAATTTAACTATTATTATTTTTTTAATAAAGAAAGAAATTCCGGCTTAATGATATATACTGTATAGTCAACCCTTGGGTTTCGAACGCCTCTGATTACAAATAATTCGATTTACAAACAAATTTAGACCTATAAATGCTCCGTCCTTCCATCTGTCCTTTCGTAATCTCGAGAATGGAGTTAGACGAACATCGAAACCAGGTATGGAATTTTTAGGAACTGAAAACCCCGACTAATTATATACGAACTTCCGATGAAAACCGGAAGTTACGTTATTTTAATTCAAAACTTTACCCCTGAAGGGAGTTAGATGACCGGCACGACTCTATTCTTAATAGGAAAAGTATGAATTATAGGGCAAGACACTACAAATATGAGATAGAGAGCATATATTTTAAATTAAATAAATAAATTAAAAAATATGATTAAAATTGCAGCCCGACATTGCGACGATGCCACAATAAATAATTGTTGCTCGTTTAAATTATATTTCAATGCGTGTGCGACTAAGATTCTGATTTTCGGTACGCGTTGGAATTGAATTTAAATCAAATTAATTCATTAATAAAAATCGCGTTAATTAGCATCCGCGTAATATAAATGACATCCACGAATTCGTGTTTAAATGTGCTTAAAACTCAAATTAAATAAAACATTTATTAATATAATATAATATATATTATAATGTTAATAATTAATATTTATTAATACTAAGTAGCCAGTTAATTAAAACTAAAAATAATAGTTAAAACTTTGGTCTTTACACTGAAACTGAAACTAAAATTAAAAATAAAATCAAAATTAATCAATTAATGTAAATTAAAATTTAAATCAAAGCGGTTGAAAAGTAATATTTCGGAAATTATGAATAAAGTGCTCTTGTTGTCTGTTTTGATTGATTTTCGTTATACTGTACAGTATTTCATTCAGGCAGTCCGAGTTTAGTCTCCATTTATAGCTCTTTTAAAGAGTTGGTTTCGGTTGGTGGTGATGGAATATTTTGCTTTTAATATACATACATTTATAATGGATATATATAATATTATATTGCATTTTTAGGAATTTTCATGCATGAAATACAGCTAAAATGGTAAAAAAAAGAAAAAAGACTTCGTTTTGTGGTCAGGAACGGATTAATCCATATTACATTGTTTCTTATGGAAAAACTTTTTTTTTCTGGTTTGAAAACAAATCGGTTTTCGAATAACTTTTAAGAACGAATTAAGTTCGAAAACCGGGGTTTGACTGTATTTTAAAAATATTTGTTCTTCGTCATATTTTATTTTTATGTTTTTAAAGGTTTTCATTCACAATTTGCAAGAAGTTAAAATAAAAATATGTCGTCTTCTGTAATAATTTATTTTATCTGTTGATACAGTTTAGTTTTATTTCTTAATTTTTATATTTAACAAATAATAACGAATCCCAAATATATTTTATTTTTGAGATTTGTAATTGTTTTTCTCACTTATAAGTTATAATATTAAAAATCATTGTTTAATTCTGTACATTTTTAATAAAGACTGCTTTTTTGCTTGTTTTCTAAAATCAACGAAACAAAAATAATAATAGAAATTCGACTTACAGGTTTCACAATTATTATTTTTTACGTTATTATTTTATTTTCTGTATTTACTAATTAAAATTTGACCTTTATATATCATGATACTAAATTAAGTATATAAAATTTTATAATTTGGATGACAAAACTTTTTTTTTCTTTTTGTTAAAACGAAAGTCATTTCGGCGATTTCTTTACAACTTCTACCATTTTATTTATTTATTTATTTTTTGTGTGTAGAAATATTTAACACAAATGTAGAAAAATAAATTAGTTCGTAATTATTTAGTAAAGCAAAATTTTAAGAAAGGAGAAATGATATTTGATATTCGTTATTAAAACCTACATTAAGAGTAGGCCAAGCAAGTTTTTAACATGCTTAATATGCCAGTTTGTTAATGAGGAAAATTTAATATCCTACGGTTTCATATTTCATGTTTTTTTAAATGCTATTTCTTATCGCGTTTCTTCCTAGTTTGACCTAGAACAGGTAAGATGTTTTTAATGTGGTATGTTTAGTTTTTTTGTGGGTGTTGTTAAAAGATGATTTAATTATTTGTCAAAAGTTTAAATGCGTTTAAGTCCAACTGAATTGAAACCATTACTATAATGTTTTTATTTATTTATTTTTTTTTAACGTTCGACGTACAAAGACGTACACGTTGAATCTNTTTCTTTTTTTTTTTTTTTTTTTATAATTGCAATACTTGCTTACATTTTTACGTCTTCATTTTCAAATATTTTTTTCATATAATAAATTATTTTTTATATCAAGTTACATAAATTTGTATCCTGTATCTATTTGGCTTAAAGCGAAGTTTCTGACGTTAAGGTGAAGTTTATTATTATTTTTTCTACATATTTAAATAATGATTTTATAAAATATACTATTTTTAATAATTAATTTTGTATAACATATCACAAATTAGGGTTATTTGATGAAAAAATTAATTATTAACTATTATGCAGTGTTTGTTTATAATCTGTAAATAGACTGTGTATATATATGAACTTAGCTATAAAATTATTAACAGATAACTTAAATACTCAAATATATATATATGAGTATTTAAGTTATCCGTTAATAATTTTATACACGTCAGTAATACAGTAATTAACACACCAGTAAAAATGCTATACATA